ATTAAAGTATAATAAAAATAAAAAATATAATTAACAAAACATAATTGACATATAAAATATTTAATATAATTCATGAGAGTAAAATTTTTAAATATTTTTAGGAATTGTAAAAGACGAGGACGAAGATGAAACATCTACTGCTATAGAATTTCACGATTTAAGTGATCTTTTAATTAAAGATGATATAGAAGATATGGATGCAGAAGATTCGCTTATTCTTCCATCACATCATAGATGTGTGAGTCACAGTTTAAATCTTGTCGCTGTAAAAGATTCCGAGAAAGCTCTAGACAATGATGTTTCATATAAAAAACTATACAGATTGACATTTGCTAAATTAACCAAATTATGGAGTAAACAAAATAAATCTACACAAATATCTGACAAAATAAAAGAAATTTTAGGTGTCTATTTAAAAACTCCTGTTATTACCAGGTAAAAAAATTTATTATTGCGTTAGATTGTAAATATGAAACTTATTTGATCTTAGAATGATAATAGATGTACCTAATGATTTTTATCAGTGTCTAAAAATAATATTCGCAATGTTTATGTACAAGTCACGCAGTGGCTTATATGTATATCAATATTATTTTTCCATAGATATTCTCTCGACACAATAGTAAAAAACATTACAACTGTCTTCAATTTTATAACTAAATAAATTGCATATTTACTGTTTTTTAATTTTAATCATGTTTTCATTTAATTCTGCATATGAGTATATATAAATATTTTTTCAAATTATAAGTTTCTAATATACTTTCATCTTTTTTTATTTTGGTAGATGGAACTCTACTTTTGATTCTGTAATGCAACTAGCAACATTTTTAAAAAATGATCCCGACCAAATCAATCAATGCCTTGATCATTGTAATTTGCAACGATTGACTGAACATGAAATGAAATTCATAGAAGAATATTGTCAGGTATTTAGATAAATTTATAAGTTGTTAATATGAAACATAAATATATAAATATGTATATATAAAGATTGTAATATGTATTTAATAACTAAAACGTGTATCTTTTTCTCGTTTTATTTCGTTTAGATAATGAAACCTTTAGCACAATCTTTAGATATATTGCAAAGCGAGAAAGGGATGTATATGGGATACTTATTACCGATCTTAAAAACATTAAAAGAAAAATTAGAGAAACTTAATAAAAATGAAATTACGCATTGCCAATCATTAATCGCAGCTCTTCAACAAGGTTTAAATAAAAGGTAATTTGTTATTTTAATGAACATGTTATTTATTATTTTTAGAAAACAATATTCATTGATTCTGACTTCTGACTGTATAATTTTAGATTTTCCTCATTGTTTGAAAAAAAAAGAACTTATTATTGCAAGTTGTTTGCATCCCAAATTTAAATTAAATTGGATACATGGAGAAGAAAAAAAACTCGCTAAAACTTATTTAGAAGACCTATTAGGAATTCGTTCCACCGAGAGTTCTCTAAACGATGAAAATCTCAACAACGATGACTTTTTTGCTTTTGACCAGCAAACAAAAAAAGTCGAGTCTACACAAGAAGAACTGTACCGATTCTTGAAATCAAGTAATTGCAATGTTAATATATTAAAAGATTACATTACAATTAAAAAACTTTTTATTAAATATAATACGGCACTTCCGAGCAGTGCATCTGTGGAACGAATGTTTAGCGTTGGTGGTTTAGTATTAACGCCTCAAAGAGCACATCTCAACGATGACACAATTGAGTATCAAATCCTCTTAAAAATTAATAAAAATTTTTATTAAAATTTTAAATATTAAATCGTTAATAAATTATAACATATTGGGTCTGTTTTTTGTTTTTTGTTCCTGAACTGCTGCACTAGTTCAGAGGTTGTCCTTTTCTTTCCAATGTCGAGCAAAAAAGATAACCTCTGAACTAATGCAGCAGTTCAGGAACAAAAAACAGATCCATTGTATCAATTTATATTAACAAGAATTATAATAAAAAAAAGTGTCAAGATATGAATTTATACAGGGTGTCCCAAAGCACTCTTAACAACATTTGTGAGGTGATAGAGGAGATCGAGATGAACAAAAAAGTCTTATACCATTTTGCGATATTTGCAATTATAAGCGAAATATTTAATGTTAAAGTCAGGCAAATAAGAGCCCGCTAAGGAAAGCGCTCGAGCCGCTCAAACTATAACACGGCCCAGTGTACCCGTTATAACGAATTAAGTTATTTAAAGTTAAATAAGAGCCCTTAGCGGGCTCTTATTTGCCTGAAATTAACATTAAATATTTCGCTTATAATTGCAAATATCGCAAAATGGTATAAGACTTTTTTGTTCATCTTGATCTCCTCTATCACCTCACGAACGTTGTTAAGGGTGCTTTGGGACACCCTGTATATATTAAAAAATGATCGTAAAAATTTAAAGTTTGAAATGAGTAAATAATTTTCATATAAAATGCTTAAAAAAGCACGTATGAAATTGTATTGCTTTTATATGAGTGGAATTTGTAAAGAAAGCTGTAATTTTTATGAATTAGAAAGAATACATTATAATTTTATTTTAGTTTATTTAGAAAATCTGCAATTCTTTTTACTAAGGCTATCTGATATTAAATGACGTAGGCGTATAAAATTATAAAGCATGAGAGAAAAGGAAGTTATTTAAAAGAGGATATAATTAAGGGAGTTAAATTTATTATGAGATTTTGTAGGTAATTTCAATAATCCAAAGCAACGTAAAATATTGTGCGTTTCTGTTTACTTTGACGAGACAATATAAAAGAAGGATACTAAACAAAGAAAGAGCTGTTTTCTAGTGTAGTTACTTAAATATTTCGCCGGGGTTACGATTTTCCGATTTCTCAATATCGATATTATACCCAATTGGCATGGGAGAGTCCCAAAACATTCTACAAAGATGCTATAAATATGACAAAGAGAATGTACAAAATGAACATTCATGGAATATCTCATAGATATTTTTTCGAAATGTATATCCATTTTTTCGAAATGTATATCCACAAATCTGTTCCCTGAATATTCCATGTATATTCTTTAAGAGACGTTCTATTATTATGTTAACGGGATTATTCATAGAACGTTAACTATGATAAGCTTAAGGAACATTCATATAGGGCTATACTTGTAACATCAATGGAATATATTTGTGACTTGCTATATTTGTGAATAATTTTGTTCACTAAATGACATGTTCACTGAATATTCCATGTATATTTTTTAAGAGACGTTCTATTATTATGTTAACGGGATTATCCATAGAATGTTAATTATAATGGTATGAACACACGTGTCGAGAAATATTACGAGATGTCCCAGGCACATTCTCGGAATGTTCTTTCGACATCTCTTGAATGTAAATGTTGCCTGGGTATTATGAAAGCTTTTTTATAATTCAATTATAAATGCTAATGCAATGTTTAAAAAAATGTGTGTGTTGATATCGTATTTAATTTTCGGTGAATAATAAAAATAAAAAAAAACGAAAGTATTTATTCGTTCGGAGAACATATATAAGTTAACGCCGCTGAGTCAACGATGCTCGCGAGCGCTGCAATCGCCAAATAAAACCTAATCTATCCTATCGTTGTATAGCATTGCCCGCCCGTTGTCACGGAGATAACTTATAAACAGTTATATTAAATAAATAAATATGTATATTTGTTTGCTACAAAACTGCGTTGCTAAAATATTTTATTACGGTAAGTATACTATATTTATGTAAAATTATTTTCCATATATTCTTTTTTTTATGTAGAACATGCACAACCTATATACAAAAATAAGATTATATAAAAAGTTAGCTCAGCTATTTATCTACAATACTTATATATAAGTATATATATATATATATATATATATATATATATATATAATTATATTTTAGGAATAATTTATATGTCTAATTTTTTTATTTTCAGAGAATAAAATTTTGCTTTAAAGAAAATCAACTAAAAAGAAAAATATGGATCAAAATAAAAATATTCCAAACACAAACCTCAGGTAAAAAATAATTATATATTATATGAGATGTATGTGTATATATATGTATGTGTCCCGTGTGTGTGTTTAGCTGTTAAAACAGAATTCACTTTTATATTTAAAACATTTTATTTTATACAAGGTTTGATACCTTTTTGCCTGACAACAATGTACAAAGTACAATGGACCAATTATCTGCTGCAAAGAGCAAGAAACAATTTTATCGCATTTTACGTGATGCAGCAGACAAAACAGTATGCCACATTGAAACAGAAAATCAAGTATCTAAAAAGCAAAAAATTGATATTTTTTCTACAGATGAAGATCAAAAAAATATAAATTTTAACATCTTATATAAACATTCTCAAGCATGCAATAACAATAATGTTAAGAAACGAATTACACAAAATGACATATCAGTTAACATAGATAGCTTTTCTGTATCAAGGAGTGATAATGAGCAGAATGAACAAATATGTAATGAAATTTTTAATAGTTCTGTTAATTATAGTAGCAATGAATTAATTGATAAGTTTAGTCTCACAAATTTTTTATCTCGTGATGAAAATTTTCAGACTAGTGATAAGCTTATCGAAGAAAGAGTAACTGATTACAAATGCAATGAAAATATTAATGTTTACTTGCAAAATAATCTCAAAATGTGGGCAGTGGAAAACAATATTAGCAGAATTAGTTTTCAACAACTTTTAAAAATTCTTAATAAAGTCCATCCAAATTTACTTACAGATCCGAGAAGTATTTTTGGAAAATCAAATAATATATCTATTGAAACTATGGGGGATGGTCAATATTATAATTTTAACTTAAAAGATATGCTAGAAAAACAATTAAAAATGAGATTTGCATCATCATCAATAATTTGACTAAAATTCAATGTTGATGGACTTCCCTTATTTAAAAGTAATCGTATACAGTTGTGGCCAATATTATGTCTTATTGAAGAATTTAATTTTACACCGATTGTATGTGCTGTATATTGCGGGAAAGAAAAACCAGATTTAAAACTGTTTTTGAAAGATTTTGTTCCAGAGTTAAAGATCTTATGGAAAATGGTATTATTATTAATGATACAAAGTATAGAGTATTTGTTAGAAGTTTTATTTGTGATGCACCAGCTAGAGCTTTTTTGAAAGGTATTAAAGGTTATGGCGGCTATTATGGATGTGAAAAGTGTGTTCAAAAAGGCCAATGGAAAAAGAGACGTGTTATATTTCCGGATCATTCATCTAATTTAAGAACTGATGAAAGTTTTGCTGAAAGAAAACAGAAAAAACATCATAAAGAAATAAGTCCGTTAATAGATATTGGTATTAATATGATTACAATGTTTCCGTTAGATCCAATGCATTTGGTATTTCTTGGAGTGATGCGCAAGCTTTTGCACATATGGACTGGCGGTAAATTAACAGCTCGTATGTCTGCTCAAAATATTTGTATCCTTAATAAACAACTTGAAAAAGCAGCATCTTCATGGCCAATAGAATTTAATCGAAATCCAAGAGGTCTACATGAACTTAATATGTGGAAAGCCACAGAATACAGACAATTCCTTCTGTATTTAGGTCCGACTCTACTCACTCCATGGCTTCCTAAGAAAATGTATAAACACTTTCTTCTTTTACATGCAAGTATATTTATATTATCACGAGATAATAATTCAGAAGAAGACCTTGATCAAGCAGAATATATGCTACGACAGTTCGTCATAAATAGTATTTCAAAAGATCTTTATGGCAAATCATTTCTCATATACAATGTACATAATTTGTTGCATCTTGTTGATGATGTTAGACGTCATGGTCCTCTGCATAAATTTTCTGCTTTTCCTTTTGAAAATAAATTAACTTCTCTTAAACGAGCAATTCGTGGAAAAAACAAACCATTGCAGCAATTAGTAAACCGCACTTTAGAAAAAATTGAGACAGATTCAAATAATTGTAATCAATTTATTACAAAAGATGGTTCCATTCTTAGATCTGTTCATTCTGGTCCTTGTCTTTCTTTAATTGGTATACAATATAAAATGATTCGATGGCATGGTACTGTATTGTCGTTAAAAGAAGGAGATAACATGGTTATTACGTCTAAAAGCGATGTTATCAAAATCATTAATATTGTTCAGACATCATCTAGTATATTTTTAATAGGAAAACGTTTTCAAGAGTCTAAAGATTTGTATTCAACTCCAACTAAATCATCAAATTTTCATATTTATATAGTTAAAAACTTGTGTGAGCGACCAGACAAATGGCACCTCACTGATATTTTATACAAGGCAATTCTTGTTCAATACAAAGACAGAAATGCTTTTGCAGTTTTTCCTATGCACAATTTCTAACAATTTTTTTATTTTCTTTAGATGTATATCAAATCATTTAACTTTAATTTCTTTTTTTTAAGTTTCTAAATCTATGTAGAACTATTATTATTTTAATACTGTGAATTGTCCGGCGAATTGTACTTAATTAAATATGTTGATTTTTATATATCTTATTATAATAAAGGTATTCATTTATAACTTCAATTTTTTTGTTTTAATTAAATATTTAATTTATATCACAGTAAAATGTGGTCAATAGTAAAGTTTCCTCTAGAAAAGAAAGGAACAACTGTACCTATGGATATTGTACCAAAAAGTTGGTTATATGAAAATGAAAATCAAATGTTTTGTTGGTTTCCCAATAAATATAAAAAAGCACAATTGAAGGCTGCAATAAACGAACTAGAGGAACCTGATACATCGTCATGGAAAAGTTATTTAGTTAATGTTTTATAT